ACTCAAAAGGCCAACACAGCATCCAAAGATATTAATTACAAAAAAATATCATATAATATAAACTGAGGCACAATTAACCATTATTTGTTGTTGCATATTTTCCCAAGTTTACTGCGACAGTTGTAGGAAAATACCAAAACCCATTTCTCTTGGAATTCGAACGTTCTTCATGGGTCAACATGGAAGCAAGCAGATTAATGACCTAATGAAAATATTTTTTGTATAAAAAATTGTATATATTATTAAATCAACAAATATTAGTTAACATAGCTAAGAATAAAAAACAGACATTTAATGTAAGGTACCTCTTGATCCACTAGTCCTTTTGGTAACAATGATTTGAGAGTGTTCCTATCCCTGACCATGTTAGTCGACGTAGTTATTAGGACTTCTTTGCTGAAAAAAAATATAGGAAATACTTCATTGTTAATGTATGTGGTGGTCCGATGTTAATAATAATATAGTAGAACATTACTTACACATTAATGGAATCATCTTTATTTGAACCAAATATATAGGCTGCAACCATGGCATCAACCTGGTCCAAAATCATTATCATAGGTGGCCTAAATAACATTAGTATTCACTGCATTTTATGATAATGAAAATGATGTGGTAGTCATAATATGTAATTATGTAAATAATAATTATATAATACACTATTCCTTAGTCTGTGTAGTTCTGTAATTTTTTTCATCCCATCATACTTAGCATTATGGAGTGGCTCCATGTCTGCCAAGCATCCCCATTTGTTTCTTGCTATTGTATGTGAAAACAACCTCTTTTTTAAAGAATCAGGTTTTTTAATAGGAGGTTTTGCAATAGGATTAATGTGTTCTTTTTTTTCTTGCTCGGAAACATGATCAGGTGAAACAAAGTGTGCGACACGTTCGTCACTATTTGTGTGTTTGTTTATTGTTAAATGAGTACAAGGTGAATTTGAAGGAGTCAGCAGTGAAGTTTAACTACTAACCAAATTAATTAGGTTGTCCAAACCTTTAATAATCATTACTACGACAGTTGTAGGAAAATACCAAAACCCATTTCTCTTGGAATTCAAACGTTCTTCATGGGTCAACATGGAAGCAAGCAGATTAATGACCTAATGGAAATATTTTTTGTATACAAAATTATGTATATATTATTAAATCAACAAATATTAGTTAACATAGCTAAGAATAAAAAACAGACATTTAATGTAAGGTACCTCTTGATCCACTAGTCCTTTTGGTAACAATGATTTCAGAGTGTTCCTATCCCTGACCATGTTAGTCGACATAGTTATTAGAACTTCTTTGCTGAAAAAAAATATAGGAAATACTTCATTGTTAATGATTGTGGTGGTCTGATGTTAATAATAATATAGTAGAAGATTACTTACACATTGATGGAGTCATCTTTATTTGAACCAAATATATAGGCTGCAACCATGGCATCAACTTGGTCCAAAATCATAAATAACATTAGTATTCACTGCATTTTATGATAATGAAAATATTTTGGTATTCATAATATGTAATTATGTAAATAATAATTATAGAATACACGATGCCTTACGCTGGGTATGGCGATAGTTGTTTGCATCCCATCATACTTATCATTATTTATTTTCTCCATTTTGCCAAGCATCCCCATTTGTTTCCTGCTATTGTATGTGAAAACAACCTCCTTTTTAAAGAATCAAGTTTTTTAATAAGAGGTTTTGCAGTAGGATTAATGTCTTCTTTTTTTTCTTGCTCGGAAACATAATCAGGTGAAACAAAGTGTGCGACACGTTCGTCACTATTTGTGTGTTTGTTTATAATTGAATGAGTACAAGATTAATTTGAAGGAGTCAGCAGTGAAGTTTAACTACTAACCAAATTAGTTAGGTTGTCCAAACCTTTAATAATCATTACTGTGACAGTTGTAGGAAAATACCAAAACCCATTTCTCTTGGAATTCGAACGTTCTTCATGAGTCAACATGGAAGCAAGCTGATTAATGACCTAATGGAAATATTTTTTGTATACAAAATTGTATATATTATTAAATCAACAAATATTAGTTAACATAGCTAAGAATAAAAAACAAACATTTAATGTAAGGTACCTCTTGATCCACTAGTCCTTTAGAAACAATGATTTCAGAGTGTTCCTATCCCTGACCATGTTAGTCGACGTAGTTATTTGGACTTCTTTACTGAAAAAAAAATATAGGAAATACTTCATTATTAATGATTGTGGTGGTCCGATGTTAATAATAATATAGTAGAACATTACTTACGCATTTATGGAGTCATCTTTATTTGAACCAAATATATAAGCTGCAACCATGGCATGAACCTGGTCCAAAATCATCGTCATAGGTGGCCTAAATAACATTAGTATTAACTGCATTTTATGATAATGAAAATAGTTTGGTATTCATAATATGTAATTATGTAAATAATAATTATAGAATACACAATGACTTACGCTGGGTATTTCGATAGTTGTTTGCATCCCATCATACTTAGCATTATGGAGTGGCTCCATGTCTGCCAAGCATCCCCATTTGTTTCTTGTTATTGTATGTGAAAACAACCTCTTTTTTAAAGAATCAGGTTTTTTGATAGGAGGTTTTGCAATAGGATTAATGTCTTCTTTTTTTTCTTGCTCGGAAACATGATCAGGTGAAACAAAGTGTGCGACACGTTCATCACTATTTGTGTGTTTGTTTATTGTTGAATGAGTACAAGATGAATTTGAAGGAGTCAGCCGTGAAGTTTAACTACTAACCAAATTAGTTAGGTTGTCCAAACCTTTAATAATCATTTCCTCCAATGACTCTAAACGGTCGACTTTGTCCTCCAAAGCATCCTATAAGAAATGAAATGAAATTAGGAGTTTAGTTACCAACCATTAAAAATTAAATTACCAAACATAAATTACGGTCATTGATTTTCATGTCAAGCTTTATTAATGATACCTAACCATGTTTTGTATGGGTGTTTTCATCGTTCATACAAGGATGAGGAATACTCTCGATGTAGCTAATGTAATATGATAACAAACATTAAGTCATTATCTGAAAGCACAAATACTTAGAAGAAAAATAAAGTTACCTATTATGAAACAACAAAATAATAAATTGTAACATATCAAACCTAGAAGATATCTCGATGACTTGTTTCACCTTGGCTGCCTTCTTGTTGCGAGTGCATATCCTCCTCGTCGGTGGCGATGAAGTTTTCGCCAGCGATTTCCTTTTCTTTCCATGAGATACCATGTTCGTGAAAGTCTTGGATATTTTTTTGAAGCAAAACGGAAAAACGGCTAGTGTGAAAATATGAATGACTTAAATAACATATTTTTTAATTTTTTTTATTTCATGAAAAGAATGAAAAATATGTTTTCCAAAATTTGTAACGATGTTGATATTTGTTATTTGTTATTCATACAATCAAATGTACTGAAAAATGTCAACTGTCAAAATTTTTGGAGGAACATAGTGGGGCAACACAGGGTAAGAGATGAATTGATATTTGTTAAAGAATACTAGTTTCGTGTATAGGTTTAGGATATTTTAGTGAATATTATTAATAGAATAAATAAAATAAAAAACCACATGTCAATCTGTCATTGGTCCTCACAGAAGGGGCACCACAACCCCTTCAATCACAAGGGCACCAAAGCAATAGCTATTAAAAAATAAATCCCTCTTCACTTCTTCACATTCATTTCACTCTCTCTCTCTAAATTTAATGCTCTTCCTACCATCCATTAATGACTCTCTACAAATTGCCACACCGTCACCACTCTAATCAACCCTCCCACCCCCTCCCACCAATCACAACCTGCCACGTGTCCCTTTGCAATCCATCCCTCCTTTCACCTCCGGTTGAACCTCTCTGGCGACAACAGCGCCTTGGGGTGCCTGCACCTCAACCGGCTCGACCGTAGAAACATCGAACTCGCCATCGACTTGCTCCGCCGCGACGAACTCCCACCGCCATCGTACCTCATGCTTGACTCCGACAACGAAAAAACCCCTCCGCCGTAAAAATGGTGACTTCATCCCCCTATAATACTTAAACGAAAACACCCTCGCCTTCCCCCAACGACCCAAGTCTTCAGCATGTATCAAATCCTCCACACAACATTTCCTTCGTTGTTGATGGGTCCTTGGATCTTGTAGTAGTCGTGGCATAGATAGGAAATAGATGGAATTGGTCATGTACCATTCCATGTATTCTCATGCGTGAAATAATGGGCCTTGCATTAGATGACCGATTAATGTGTGCTCAAATCTATTATTCCATATCACGACCCATTGAGCATGTCTTGTAACCCAATTTTCATCTTATCTTCCCCTCATGTCAATTTTGTGTAGGTTATTCAAATTATTAGGTGGAGAAGAGACATCCTGGAAGAAACAAAATTGCAATTTCACTCTATCGGATTGGTGCCATTCAACAAATGCAAAACAAATGATGGTGGTGCATGATGTCCATAGTTGGGCATCTCTATATGCTTGCATGGGTATTGTTTGCAAGACTTGATATGGAGCCCATAAAAACTACAAATAATTTAAATTTTGTTATTTAAGATAATATGCTAAACAAAAGAAAATAAGAAACAAATAATCCACCAGTAGAACCACTATCTATATACAATCCACCTCCACACATTTTAAACTTTCCCAATGAAATCCAACAACAAGACACTGAGTATAACCATCTATTGGAACGTGAAATGGTTGTGTATCCACCTAGAACACTCTTTGTTGGCCAACGCTTCCAAACAAAAGAACAAGTGCAAGACACCGTTAACAGATTTTATATTGTCAACCATTGCACTTACAAGGTTAAATACTCAAGCACTACTAGGCTTCTCATGGAATGCGTTCACCACGACTGTGCCTAGAGATGTCGTGCTATATTGCGCACCAGGGAACAACATTGGAAAATCATTTATGAAATTATTAAGGTTGATCCATCCACACCCATTTCAACCATCATAGCCCACATCAAGCCGACCATGGGTTATACAATCAGTTACAAGAAGGGATGGCTGGCCAAGCAACATGCCATTGAAAACATCTTTGGCAACTGGGAGGAGTCGTACAACAAGTTACCAGGTATATTGCAAGCATTGGAAATGTTTGTTTCGAGTTTTATTTGAAAATTCAATATGCAACCAACATACCAAGGTGGCGTATTGAACGAGGGCAGTGTTATATTCAAAAGGTTATTTTGGACCTTTAAACCATGCATTGATGGTTTTGCCTTCTACAAACCAATTATTCAAGTAGATGGAAAATTTTTATACAACAAATACAAAGGTACGTTATTGGTCGCAGTTGTGCAAGACAGACGCAACAACATAATACCTATTGCGTTTACTATTTTGGAAGGTGAGACTAGCGATGCATGATTTTTTTTCTCAAGAACTTAAGGCAGTATATAACACCGCAAGACGGATTGTGCCTCATTTCTGATCGTCACGAGGCTATTCAAAATGCATATTCTAGAAATGGAAGTGATTGGACAGAAAACAATTCTATTCATGTCTATTGCATTAGACACATTGCACAAAACCTCATGTGACGATTCAAAAATGCAACACTGAAGAAGGATGTCGTCAACATGGCTACATGACCAATTTGGTACAGTTTTACAAACTATTTACCAAAATGGGGTTGTTTTGAAACATATTACACCTTTGGGGCTGTTTTCTACGGTGTCGCTATGGGCCATAGCGACACCAGTGACACGTGGGATTTTTTTGGGGGGGGGGGGGCTGGGTTGGGCCGGATTCCCTACGACAAAGTCGCTATGGGCTCATTCAACATCTTTAATGGACTAAAAAAAAACACATGGTCCATAGCGACACAGTAAAAAAAAAAAGCAATATAAGTTAAAAATACAAAAGTAATAAATAAAATATGAAAAAGTAAATTATTTTTGGTTTTTATAAATTAATAAATAAAATATGAAAAAAGTTTAAAAAAAAATTATAAAAACAAAACGTCAAAAAAAAAACAAATATGTTATTATTTCATTTATAAAATTAAAATAACAAATATTGTAAAATTAAAAAAAATTAAAAAAAAAGGCTCCATCACCCATAGCGACTTCAATTTAAAAAATTTAAAAAAAAAGGCTCCATGGCCCATAGCGACTTGAATTTTTTTTAAATTTCAGAAAATAATATACGTTATTTATGTGTTATTTATTTTATTTTATAAATGTTATTTATAATTTTAATTAATTACAAATACTAAACGTAAAAAAAATATAAATAAGTTATTATTTGATTTTTAAAATTAAATAAACAAATATTGTAATATTTAAAAAAAAATTTAAAAAAAAGGCTCCTTGGCCCATAACGACTTCAATTTAAAAAATTAAAAAAAAATTAAAAAAAAGGTTCCATGACCCATAGTGACTTCAATTTTTTTAAAATTTCAGAAAATAATATACGTTATTTATTTATTATTTATTTTATTTTATAAATGTTATTTATAATTTTAATTAATTATAAAAATCGTAAAAAAATATAAATAAGTTATTATTTGATTTTTAAAATTAAATAAAAAGATATTGTAATATTTAAAAAATTTTAAAAAAAAGGCTCCTTGGCCCATACCGACTTCAATTTAATAAATAAATAAAAATTTAAAAAAAAGATCCACAGTCCATAGCGACTTCAGTGTTTTTTAAATTTTATTAAATAATTTATGTTAATTATTTGATTTTATAAATATTAATTATAATTTTAATTAATTATAAAAACTAAACGTAAAAAAAATATAAATAAGTTATTATTTGATTTTTAAAATTAAATAAACAAATATTGGCATATTCAAAAAAATTTTTAAAAAAAGGCTCCTTGGCCCATAGCGACTTCAAATTTTTTTAAATTTTATTAAATAATTTATGTAGATGTCGCTATAGGTGATGGAGACTCTTGTAGTATATATCCCCCCTCCGTTATGGTAAATCACATCGATATCTCAAGTGCAATTGTTGTTTTTGTTACTGTATTTGTTATTTATCCACTAAGTCAGTCTGGTTGGTTCTTTGCTCCTGTTAATTTGAGTTTTAGATTCTTATTTATGATTGAAATTTTTTGTAGTTTAAATAAGTTCTATGTATTTGTACTAATATTTTAATTTTTCTGCAGATATTATGGATCAAATTATAGCTTATATTTACACTGGAAGGATGTATGAAAGTCTAGAAGGTGTAACATTTGATGGACCAAAAAAAGGGATGTATATTAAACGAGGTTTAACTTTGGATATATTAAAGAGAAGGATTCACAACAAATTTCGTCTTAAGTCAAATCAAGTTATATTATCTGTAACTTACAGATTTGTTGTTTCACAGCATGATGAGAACAGATATTCTTCATTGGAATTGAGTGACGATGATGATGTACAATGCATGATAGAAGCTTTTATGAGTCAGAATGTGATGCCAATAATGGAATTACATGCTGAAATAGGTAACTTAGAATCTTCAACAATTTCGTTAGAAAATTTGTCAATTGAACGATCACCGGTGATGACAAGAGACGAAGATGAAGATGACGAAGATGATGAAGACTATCATGTTTCATTGTCATATGAAAGCATTGATGAATCAAATGAAGATGAAATCGATAATTGTGAAGCATCTGATAGTGACGTGGAGTCAGATGCTATTGTTCAAAGTCCAATGGTTGAACCAATTTCAATGTATCCATCTACTGAAGGTAACATTTGAAAATTAAATTTGTCAATAATTTGTGTTATTCGTTTAAAAAATTTTGTTTAAATTTACATTATTGAATTTAAAATATTTACTATGATTAAATTAGGTGGAAGTCAATTTTGGGGTAATTTACCTCACTACACTAATATCAATTGGAGTCATCCAGATGAAGAAGAAATCCCAGGGATGGATGTGGCTAATAATTGGTCTATTGGCGAAGATTTATATGTTGGATTGGAGTTTGAGAATAAAGATGCAGTAAAAAATGCAGTAAAGCAAAATGCAATGAGAATGCATCAGAGTTTTTATGTGGTTGAATCGAAAAAGACAAAGTGGGTTGTTAGATGTCCAAATGCACATGATGGATGTGGATGGTACATGAGAGCTATTGAGTCAAAGAAATCTGACAAGTGGAAAGTGACTCAATGGGGTGGACGTCATACATGTTTGAACATGTCTTTGTCACAAGATCATAATAAGTTAGATTCTGAGCTAATTGCATCATTTATACAAGGTAAGTTCTGCAACTGCAACTTATAATATTATATTAATAATAATTTATATCACTGATTTTGAATATTTAATATGTAGGAATGGTTAACCAAGATCCAGCAAACAAGATTAGCCTTATCCAAGAGAGAATAACATCTCAAACTGGGTTTAAGATATCTTATAGGAAGGCTTGGATGGCTAAACAAAAAGCAATTGTTAAAATATTTTGTGATTGGGAAGAATCTTATGCTTTTTTACCCCGGTGACTTAAATACATGAAGGAAATTGCGCCAGGATCCTTTTATGATCTGTGTCATGATGAGTTTTTCGTTGGTAATCGTTGTGATCGTGGTTACCATCAGTTTCACAGGTTATTTTGGACATTCAAGCCGTGTTATGATGCATTTGATTATTGTAAACCCCTGATACAAGTTGATGCACTCATCTGTATGACAAGTATCGAGGCACATTGCTCATTGCCACAACACAGGATGGTAATAACAATGTTCTTCCTCTGGCATTTGCTGTGGTGGAAGGAGAAACATTACTTGCGTGGTCGTGGTTTTTGGCTCATTTGCGGCTACATCTTACAAATAAATAAGGAATATGCTTAATTTATGATCGACATCGTAGCATTAAATCGGGCATTGACAACGAGGCACTTGGTTGGAGACCGCCAAATGCATATCACAAGTACTGCATTAGGCACATTGTAAGTAATTTTAATACTCGATTCAAGGATGCCAAATTAAAACAACAACTTGTGAAGTTAGCTAAGGAAAATTATTTTCAAATTATTCGTAATTTCATTATTCTAATTATGCATCATTCATAATTTGTATGCAGGGTATACACCATGTAAACACATTTTTGATCGTAATCTGGAAAAGTTTTGTCAATCTAGCCTTGATGTTCAAAAGTGGATAGGAGGAGTATCAAAAGAAAAATGGAGCATGGCATACGGTGTAGATGGTCGGAGATACGGTCACATGACAAAAGAATTGTCTGAATGTGTTAATATAGTTTTAAAGGACTGTAGAAATCTGCCTATCACTACATTAGTGCGATCGACTTATACCAGGTGCGCTGAGTATTTCAGTACTCGTGGTAGTCGTGCTTTATCTGAAGTTTCATCAGGGAAAGTTTTCGTTTCTAAATTGGTTGAGGCTTTGCAAAAAAATCAAGAAGAGGCTTGTTCCCACCAAGTTTGTAGATATGACATTCAAGCTTCAAAATTTGAGGTTGAAGAGGCATTTGATCCAGTAAGACAAACAGGGGGAAAGAAATGGGTAGTTAATCTAAACGAACGATACTGTCAATGCAAAAAGTTTACAACATTTCATTATCCTTGTTCTCATGTTATAGCTGCATGTGGTGTCGTTAGCATTGATTACTACTAGTTTATAGATCCAGTTTATACAACTGATTATGTTTTAAGAGCCTATTCTGGTCTTTAGGAACCAATCGAAATTGAAGACTTAATCCCTCCAAGTGATGAGGACTGGATACTTGTCCCAGATCCAACATCTGTGCGTGGGAAAGACTGACCAAAATCAACCAGAATTAGAAACGAAATGGACTGGGTTGAAAGCTCACAACGACGACAAAAATGTGGTATATGTAAACAAGAAGGTCACAAAAAGCGCAATTGTCCGAGAATATGTAACCATGATAATTAGTGTATAATTTTTTTCCATGAATACAATTTTATGAAAGTTAATGAAATAGTTCATAAATATACAATGTCTAATCCTCATCCTCCTCATCCTCCTCATCTTCCTCATCATGATGACCTACACCTCTAACAGTACCAGGAGTGAGAATGCATCGTCGTCGTCCCTCTCTTGCCGCCCTTTGAGGATTTCGACGAACATGTAGTTGTTGTGGCTCCGATGGTGGATGACTAGCCTCCGCTAAAAATTGTGGTTGCAAATCAACCCATATAACATCAAATTTAAAAGACAAATTTACATTATTAATAATAAATAAAAGATGAAAATAATGGACAAATTAATTAAATATTATATTACCTGATGTATAAGCATGACTTATATAAGCATGATCATATGGAATATGATAAGGGGCTTGCTGACTCTGCTGTGTGTCATCCTGTGGCGCACTTGGTTGTGGAGTTGCAAAAGGAGAATGTCCAAATATGGCCATCATTTCTGACGAGATGAAGGGCTCGGGTGATGCTGCGACCGTCTCCTCTAAACCAAGTGACTGACAAATATTTGTCATGGTCATCAGAACCGATGTCTCGAAACCTGGTGGGCGTGGTGGATGGTACCAATATGTAGTCTAGGATAGGGAAGGATAAATGAGATCCTGTGAAGGAACATAATACATCCCTTCCGGTCTGTCTGGCACTACAGGGTATGTCTGCTCCATAGCCTCAACAGGCATTCTTCGTCGTGATAATCCTGCAGCCTCCCTAAAGTATGGAGGAACATTGAATGTCCCCATCTCATATGACTCAGAAGGAGGGGGTGCTTCCTCAGCTGGCTCAACGACACGTGCTAGATAGTCATCAGATATCGATAATAATCGATTAGTTTGCTCTGTGACTGCCTCCAACGAAAACTCTTCTCTGCCAGGAGGGGAAGTCAAGTATGCCAAACACTCAACTACATCTCCCTACATATACAACAAATGTCATAAATAATTAAGAACTTTATATTTAGACAAAATAGTGTATTAAAATATAATTACTAAAGTGCACATACCAGAACTGACTCTTTAACTTCATCTGGATCAATGTGCAGCTTCCCTTTCCTCCGGTACCATCTCATGTATTATGAATTCAGACCTAATAGTCCGACCTGTGGAGGAGTAGGTGTGAAGTGATATGCATATCGATGACCCCAATGCTCTAATGTTGGACTTAATATTGTAGCCTAGTCATCTTCAACCTTACCACGTAAGGTCAATGCATGCACATTTGCAAGAGTCATTGGAGGATTTGGAATTGGTTGTTGGCAACTAAATTGCCTCATCACCCTATCTGGCTGATGGCATTCACAAATACAGAGACAAAGTAAGGAAATTACAGAACCCCAAATCTGCATCCCCTGTGTGCAGTCACCGGGTATCTGTTCAACAGGGGGATATGGTTGCCAAATAATCTGTAAAATATAATTTTTAATTAGTAAATATTAAAATACAAATAACTTAGATAATTTTTTTTTAAAACTACAAAACGTTAATTACTTACAGATTTTCTAATAGTTCGATCAAAGTATTTACGGTAAAATTTTATATCATCGCTCATACTTATTTTGGTCGCTGTGTTTGACCACCTAAAAAAACAAATTGTAAACAATTAAATAATGTTTAATTAACTGATTAATTATCAAAATGTAAAGTTTCAAATTTGCTCGTACCTTAAACCAATTAGACTGGCTGGAGGAATAGGTGGCAATGGTGAAGACAAAATGGTTGGAAATCGTTCCCATGCCCATAACTGTAATAAAAGGGTAAATCCACTGCAGGTTAGGGTTTTGTAATCGGTTGAGGTGCATAAATTCCGATACAAACATCCAAGCAAAGCTGCACCCCATGCATAAGTCCTAATAATATCAAAGTCGCGCAAAAACACCAACCACCGTAAGGACACATACGACGAAGATCTATCGAGAACAAGCACTCCTCCTACATAACGTAATATCCAAGCTCTAGCATAACGAACTAACACATGTACATCATCTATGTCATCAGCAATGTCCCCAAAGTTTGCTGCCAACCAAGATAGCTTCATGCGATGTCCTTTAATTTCAGACTGCGGTGGAACAACTCCTCACTGCATAAAATCAAACAAAAAATTTAACTATTATCAATATAAAAAATATACTATAAATTTACAAATAAGTTAAAGTCAAGTTATAATTACCCAATCCCAATATATTTGCTCTGCCTCGAGATAATACCGATTCACCGTCAACCGGAAGACCAACAAGCATGCCAATGTCTTGAAGAGTAATTGTGCACTCTCCGAATGACATGTGAAATGTGTGTGTCTCTGGTCTCCATCGCTCTACCAAAGCCGTTAGCAAACCAGGACTAACTTTGATATAATTAAGACGCGCTATCCATCTGAACCCAGCTTGATCTAGTAACGGAATCATTTATTGTGGAACTCCCGCAATTCCAGTGCGCGTTGGAGCAGCACGTCGTGCTATTAATCTCCTGTCATCTTCTCTGTTCCAAACATGCTGTGACACATGTATATTTTGCAACGATAATAAATCATCGTCGACGGGTTCACATGTGACACGCATACCCCTAGAAGATGATGCCATCTATAACAAAATCTAATAAAATTAATTATTTTTGAACACATGATTTATTTTTTTAATTTAATTAACATGATATAATCTATAAAAAAATAACACACTAACAACGTTAAAAAATATGTATATACATCAATATATAAAAAAACACATATTTAAATATAACTAAATAAATTGCAAAAAATTACAAAATTTAAAATATATAAAATCATAAATACCTCGTATGATATAATATCCCAAAAAAACACTAACAACCTAAAATAATAAAAATATATTATGACATAAACAATTTAAATAAAACATATAAATTAAAAAAATTTAAAAACCCAAAAACTTACTTACTGGAGCAAAGGGAAAGCCAAATTTTCGTAGGTAAAAGAAGAGGAGGGGGGGGACCAACGGAGATGAAAAGTGTATATATAGGTAAAAGAAGTTTATATACTTAATTTATTTTTTTCACTTCTTAATTTATATTATCAATTTAATATAAATCTATATTTATATACAAATTTTTTCTGTTATTTAATTATTTTATATATATTTTGTTTTTCTTTTTAAGTATTTAAATATTTAATACTGTGACACTATAACCTATAACGACACACTATCGCTATAGGCCATAGCGCCACTCTTTTTAATGTTATTTTTTTTAAATTATATACTTAATTTATTTTTTCCACTTCTTAATTTATATTATCAATTTAATATAAATCTATATTTATATACAATTTTTTCTGGTTATTTAACTATTTTATATATATTTTATTTTTCTTTTTAAGCATTTAAATATTTAATATTGTGGCGCCACTTTCACATATTCGTATTTTTTTAAAAAACTATTTACTTATTATTTTTTTTTAAATTTTTGATTTTATATTAAAATGGGGTATTATAGGCTATAGAGACTTCAGTCAAGCCGTTTACTATCGCTATAGGTTGTAGCGACTTTATCAACATGGCTTTCATTGCTTCCCTGGACTTAGAAAAATCCACGTGTCACTAGTGTCGCTATGGCCCATAGCGACACCGTAAAAAATAGCCTCAAAGGTGTAACATG